GCGGGGCAGGGAAGGCAGTCTCTGAAGGCGGGTCGCAGTGCTCGTCGCGGCGCGGCGCGGGCGCGAGGAGGGGTCTGGGCAGCCTGCTCCACTTTGCTTCTCGGGCCCGTTCGAGCTCGTTTGATATCGGAATTTGATTCCGCTTTTTCCTGTGTGTCGCCAATGAAACGCTCTATCTAATCAAGTTCACCCGGTCCAATTATTGTGAAAAATGAATCCTCTTGAATCTTCCAAACCTGCACACTAAAGACGAAGAAAAATCGAAAAACGACCGAAAGACACAAGGAAAACCAAAATAGAAGAAACCATGAAATAAACTACAAAACGAACTAAAAACCAACTAAAAGGCCTGACATGGGAGGAAAAAAATAAAAAATAACAAGGAAAAATGCAACAAAAATTGGACAAACATATATCATAATAACATTTTCTGATAATGCAACATGATACGAAAAAATCAACAATATTCACATAAATATGTCATAATAGGGTTGATTATGAGTTCATTCCATTTGAGACGAGTAACTAGTGTGTAAGTTTGTACTCGTTTAATAAACGAATATAAGACTCGACTCAGGTTTGACTCGCTCAAACTCGCAAAAGCTCGAATCGGCTTAGCTCGTTTAATAAACCTAAGAACCTAAACGGGTTGTTCGTGAAAATAAAATATTATTGTAAACAAGTTCAACATGATTGTATATTTTATGAAAAATACATAATTGAAAAGGTTAGTTTAATTTTTTTTAATGAAAAACTAGTTTGATTTTATAGATATTAGTTATGATGCAAGGTTAATAAACTTTTATGCGAACGTAATAGATATGCGGTATATAAAAGTATTAGTAAGTTTAAAAAGTAAATAAAGAAAGTTTTAAAAAGCCCGTGATAAGAATTATATAAAATCTCAAAATATTCACAAAGTCATAAAAGTTTCCCATCCACAAAATTCAACTTTAAAACTTTGAATTTAATAAACAACTAAACTGATATAGCATCCAGAATAACTCAGTGAATCGACTAAAAGGGGGGTCAGTTCAGTTGAGAACGGTTGAAGAGAGCTCAATCCAATTTAGTACTTGCATCTCGCAAGGAACTCTCGCATAAGCGGCTCAAGGTCTAGTTCAGGTAGCTCGGAGGTTGGGAGACCTTGGGAGCTAGGATATAAGAGATCTCATGGCCTGTAGGTCGGTGAGGTTGAGGTTGTGGTTACGACATGGATAAGACTCATGACAGGTAGATGCAGACGTCGGGATTGTGACATTGAGATTTAGGATCCGAATAAGGGGAAGGAATCCTTCATAGATGAAAAGTATATATTGTCAATGATTGTTAGATTAAAGAGATCTTGCTAGTTAGAAAAATGGATGCGAGAGGATCTATTTCTTAATTATGACTCCCTTAGAGCATGTGCAATGCTTTGGGTCTAGTTTTACTTACATGACACTTAAATAGACTTAAGTCTTGGATGACATGGACAAACATATATAAAAGTAATAAAATTGACTCCAACGCAAAGAGACTAAGTCTCTACTTGAGTCTTGATATAGGATATCATATACTAGACCAGCCTTAATGGATAAAAAGGGGATATATTGAAGAATAAGCCTACACATGGCTAGGACACGTGGCGTGATGCTATTGGACAAGCCCAACATGGGTCATAAGGTACATTCCCCCTATAAAAGGGGGTTAAGGTATCTCATTCTCTCACTCTCTCTACATTCATGACTACACTTGAGATTTGGAGTGATTCTGACTTGAGCGTCGGAGGCCCGACGCCGGGACCCCTCCCGACGTTGGGTTCTTGCAGGTACGGAGGCCGACCGAGTCGAAGTAGCCCGAGTGAAATCTTATTCACTGCAAGTCTAAAATAGACTTGTGCAATGCTTTGGGTCTAGTTTACTTACATGACACTTAAATATAATTAAGTCTTGGATGACATGGACAAAAATATATAAAAGTAACAAAATTGACTCCAATGCAAAGAGACTAAGAGCACCCACAATATATTGGATCTAATTTTACATATGTGGCATATAAACAGACTTAAGTCTTAAATGACATGGACAAACCCAAGTAAAAAAACTCAAAAGCTATTCAATGCAAAAATAAAATACTAGGTCTAGCATACATGTCAACCAATAAAAATGCTCTAATATGTTTCCTTTATTAAAAGAAAATTTAAATTATGAATAAATGATGAGTATTTGGGTTTGTACTTGGGTCCAAAATAGACCCAAGTATGGACTTGGTCTCTTTTGACCATGTCCACTTTTAATTGCATTGGGAGACATTTTTTAATAGACTAATGACATGATTGAAAGGAAGGAATGACATGGGAATGGAATGGTCATTCCTTTACTCATTCCTTATTCCATGATTGGTATATTTTTTGGAAAGGAATGACCATTCCAATGGGAATGACAAAATCTATCTTCATGGGATTAGCCATTTCATAGTAAATGGAAGGTTTTCTCATTCCCATGTGTGTAGGAATCAATTTTTTAAAAAATGCAATTAACAAATAATAATAAAAAATAAATATATAATATATATTATAAATCATGATCAAAATATATTAAATAAAATTCAAATAAAAATAAAATTCAAATAAAAAATTAAAAACTTACTTTTATTTAGATTTTAATTAGATATATTAAATACTTATATAAAAATAAAACTAAATAAAAGCATTTATATATAATTTAAAAATATATTATTTATTTTTATATATTATTAAAAATATATTATTTTTTATATACTAAAAATATATTACTTTTAAAAATATATTATTAAAAATATATTATTTAGATATATTAAATACTTATATAAAAATAAAACTAAAAAAAGCATTTATATATAATTTAAAAATATATTATTTTATTTTTATATATAATTTAATAAAAGTATATTATTTTTTTAAAAAAGTTTTTATTTATTTTTATTATAAAAATGATAATGTCATTACATTCAAGTCATATTCCTTCTGCATACCAAACGCATCAATGACAAAACTTGTTTCATTCATTCTCATAATCATTCAATTCCTTAATTCATTCCATTCCTACGAAATTCCATTCTATTATACTGATCATGCCATAAGTCTATTTCCTATGTGGCATATGATATTTTATTAAGAGACCCAATGCATTGTGGGTTGCTCTAAGTATCTACTTGAGTCTAAAATAGACTTAAGTGTAGATTGAGTCACTTTTTTCTTGCTGCCACATCAGCACGACCAGTCTATTTGCACTTGCATTGGAGAGTATATTTTTCTAGACTGAATCTATTTCCTACGTGACATGTATATTTTTTGAATGGACCAAAAGCATTATAAGTGCTCTTAGATATCAAGTTACCCCTATGTATATAAGGTTATTCAGGTTTTTTATTTTACACAACACACATACGCGCACAAGAGCTTACATATATACTCTCGATTTTATCACGGACACTGACTTGAGTATCGGAAATTTTTCCACGGGACCCTCCTTGCGTATTACAAGCATAGTTGTCAGAACCGGACCGGACTGCTTTGTTGAACCGGTTCAACCGGGAACCAGTTGGCCATACCGGTCTGGTTCGAGGCATAAAACTGCCTGGGTCTAAAATCGGAAACGAACCTGTCAAACTGGTTGAAAATCGGTAAAACCAGAAAACCAGGGCAGCTCACGCAGGTCAGTGGGTCAGCTGCTTTTCTTCATAACTTCATGTGTTAGTGCAGCTGTTGTTGTTTATAAAGGTGATTATTTTTTGGTGTGTTTCTAGGATAAGTAACTTACATCCCCTCTTTATATAATTTGAGAATGCGCTGAGCCTACGTGGCAAACTCTCATGCTTCAGAATCTTATTTGGCAAAAAATTATGCTTTGGAGTTAGGCTTGGATATAAATTAATATTTGTATTATTCTATTTTAATATCATTTCCTATTATAACCATTGAATTGTATATATATTTTAAAAGTTAATAACTTTTGTATTTCTTATCGGTTTTACATATATAATATATCAAATTAATCATCTTTTGATGAGCTTCGATTTGACATCCATATTGTATATATAAAATAAATAAATTATAGTTATCTTTATAATAATAATAAAATTATTTATTAAAATTATTAGAAAATAAAATTATTTATTAATTAATATATTTATGTTTAATGTAGTTATATGTTATAAGGTAGAAAATTTATTGATACGACAGTTAATGTATTAGGCATCTAATTAAGTAAAAAAATTAATCTATTTTACTTAATATTAAATAAACATATTATACACGCATATACATATCACCATATTATTTCTATCTATTTAAGATATATATTTTTATACTTATGTAATAGTAAATAATATCGATATTTTTATATAATATAAGTGAAAAAATTCAACACGGGTTGACATTTTCATTTAATGTACGGGTGTTTAATTATTATGATTAAAAAAATATAATTTGATAATTTAACTAAATCCAAAAGTAATTTTTTATATAAAATTAAATTATTTTAGTTTTTAAAAAAATAAAAAATTTAATATTTTTACAAAAACTTTCTAATTCAACACCCGTGTAATACACGGGAATTGTACTAGTGTGCTTTATACAAAAGAAATAATCTCTGCTTATAAACATTTGCTTTCCTGTGACCTAGTGGTAGGAGTTGTGCTGTGCATGTATTAGGTTAGTGCTTCAAATCTTGAACTTGAAGTCCTTCTTTTCATTATTTTTCTATTTTCATCTTTGTATGACTTATGCACTATTCAATTTTTTTTTTTTCATTATAGTCTTTGTATGATTATTATGCACCATTCCAACATACATGTGTAGCAATTTAAAATTTTAATCACAATCAAAGCTCAAAATTGATTTTTATTTTCTTATTCTTTACAAGTTGTGTTGAGATTAATATTTTTTATGATAAAATACAAATAAGATATTAATTATTGAACTCTTATTTAAAAAAATGTCATTATATACTATAAAATTAATGATAAAAATATATACAACTATACATTATACATATAAAATAAATAAAATAATTATATACTAACTAAATCGGTTCGACCGGTTCGACCACTGGTCCAACCACTGAACCATTGAACCGTTAGCTTAACCGGTTCGATGTCTGGTTCGATTTTGACAACCTTGAGTACAAGTCATTGAAGCTCCAGGGTTGGTGCAGGTTCGTGGTTTGCCGTTCAACTGGTTCGAGACAATTTTTGTATCATAAACTTTGCAAATTCAAATGCAATAGTGTTTCAAATTTGAACGAAGTTGGTCTGGATTGATAGTTGATACGAGGTAGGGATTCTTACAGAACAATCTCGTTTTCACATAAAGCGTGGAATAACTGTGTGGGATTAGTTGAACATGAACGCGGAGAGCCGGCATTAACGGTTGCTAATGCTGCCAGGTAAGGGTTCGTGCTATTGCTAGCCAAATAAACACTCTAGTGTACCCACAATTGTGTTGTAAGCAAGGTTGTCAGAACCGGACCGGTCATCGAACCGGTTAGGCTACTGGTTCAATGGTTCAATGGTCGGACCAGTGGTCGAACCGGTCGAACCGGTTTAATTAATATATAATTATTTTATTTATTTTATATATATAATGTATAGTTGTATATATTTTTATCATTAATTTTATGATATATAATGACATTTTTCTAAATAAAAGTTCAATAATTAATATCATATTTGTATTTTATCATAAAAAATACTAATTTCAACACAACTTACAACTACAAGTTAGTAATTTGTATTTTGTATTTCTAAATCGAATTTTAATTATTATTTTTTTATTTTTATTATGTAAAGAATAAAAAGTTAAAAATCAATTTTGAGCTTTGATTGTGATTAAAATTTAAAATTGGTACACATGTATGTTGGAATGGTGCATAATAATCATACAAAGACAATAATGAAAAAAAAAAAATAGAATGGTGCATAAGTCATACAAAGATAAAAATAGAAAAATAATGGAATGAATGACTCCAAGTGCAAGGTTTGAACTACTAACCTAATACATGCAAAGCACAACTCCTACCACTAGGCTACAGAATAGTTGTTGCTTTTAAGTAGAGATTATTTTATTTTGTATATAAAGTGCACATGTGAGTTACTTATCCCACATTGGAAACACACCAAGAAACAATTAGCTATTTAAACAACAACCATTGCAACTCATATTGAAGTCCTGAGCAAGAGCCGTTGACCCGCGTGAGCCGTCGCCGGTTCTCCGGTTTGACCGGTTTTTAACCGGTTAGACCGGTTTCGTTACCGGTTTTCTACCCAGACGGTTATATTCCTCGAACCGGACCGCTATGCCAACCGGTTGCCGGTTCAACCGGTTCAACCGACCGGTTCAACCGGCCGGTTCGGTCCGGTTCTGACAACTATGGTTGTAAGCAAATGAATTACTAAAACTGGCAAAATTGTGCTTTAGTTCTTTCGTCTCTTTCTGTGTGGACCATCTTTACAGGAGCAACATTCGAGCTCTGTGGATTTGAAGATTGCAATTATTTGCTGGCTATAAGTACGTGGAGAGGTATAGCGCCTGAACTTGTGATATGCAAATGCTTATACTAACTTGTGATATGCAAATGCTTCAACTATAAAAGACAAAGGGTAGCTATTTTTGCAACCTGTTATCAGCAACTAACTCAATCCAATACTCCCGAACACTAGTGTCTATCGAGCTAATGTGTCAAAGTTGATTCGATGTGTTGTTTTGAACAAAAATGCATGATTTTACAGGGAAATGTTATGGTTTTCACAAAGGAAATAACTCTTTAATGAAGGAAAACTTAGATTCTCAGAGAAGATTTACTCTGTCCAACAATACATGTATGAAACACTCTGTAGTAGTACACTAGGCTTTACTAACCTCCAAAAAATAAGCTAGATATATTTGGCAAGGCTTTTGGCATGCTTATTTATCTATCTCCAGTACACTGTTGTTTTTCTAAGCTAAATTTTTTTTTATACAGCCTTTCAAATCTCGTCCAATTTACGAAGTTCTAATCAACTAAAAGAGGATCATTTACATTTCAATTCTTCTTCAGCTCTGCGTGCTTTTGAAACTTGCAGTTTCTTTTGCTGCGAAACTATGCACGTCACCTTCTCAGATGGGTTGAGTTTCATGTATTCTGCACCAAAACACTTCAAATTCATTTACAGATAAACCTACCAAGTAAACAAGTTAGACATTGCTTGATTTGATACATACCTACCGGGATGCGGGTTTAATTTTTCGAGTTATTCTAACTCGGATTGTGTAATTTTTGACTTTTCTTCTGTCAAAATAGCATTGGTGTGTTGTTCTCCCTCGGGAACTGGCAATGATTCGTCTGAGGTCTGAATATGTGCTGCTTCTGCTTGTTCTTCATTTTTCTCGTACGATGTGGAGGTAAAATTGTCCTCTATTGGCCCTGAGTGTTGAAATATAGTACTGTCGTTTGTCGCGAAATTCACAATTTCATCTTTTGTACCAATCGAATGTGAAGTTGAGTTTTCTTGTCCTTTTTGATCATTGGGTTTACTCAGATTGTGCTCGTTAGGTCCTTGCTCTTCATGCAAGTCTGCATGAGCCACTTCATTGGTATCGCCTTTTGTTGCCTCTCCATTGATAATCTCTTTACGCTCGTTTAGTTCCTGATCGTGGCATTTCATGCTGTGTGGTCAATATTGATAATAGGAAAGTAAATGTTTGCAGACAATACAGAAAAACAGTTATTTGGTGGTAGTTATACCATTAGAAATAAGCAGTGATTAAATATTAACAGTCAAAATGAAAAGACATAAATTTACCTCTTCAGTTGAAACTGGAGGATTCTGTTCGTGGGGTTGATCTGTACTTTGAGCGATTAGTACATTTTTGCTGGATTGTTCATCACCATCATTAATGGATGATGGGCTAGTTTCCTGTAGTGGCTCTGTATGTGCTTCACGACTACTATCTATGCTTGAGCGGCCACTGTCAGCTTCTTCTGTTATATGTGTGTTCAAAGGTTCAGATAATACCTGCTATGCAAACCGGGACGTGCAGCCTGTAAGTTAGTATATACTCGTTTCTACAATATTTTCTCTCTCGTAGTTTCCCTACCATTTGAAATTGAAAAAATGAAAGGAAAAATTAAACCCGACCTCAATAACTTCGGACCTTCCGTCAAAATCTGGAAGAGCTGCCGATTGCCCTGTGAAAGTTGTCGAGTTCTGGGGTGCAATTGGAGTTTGATGGATGTCTTCATCAAGATAATGATCAAAACTCGACACCGAACACGTTGGGTGCAGGACGGATTTCGGTGACGGCAAGGAACTTTGAACGAACCCGAAAGCCACATGATTCGGCACCAAGCTAGGGAGCGATTCGTAGATATTAGTTCCTTGATCCGACCGATTAACGCTTGCTTCAGTAGTTTGTGTTAATTCAGGCTGAATTGGTGAGGACATGATCATCTCAAGATGTTCTGCTTCCAACATATCTTCAGAATCTCCGGACAAATTTGCACTCTCTTCCCCAAGGTCTCCCGTTTCGTGCCGCTCATTCGCATTCCCAAATATCTCATCCTCGGTTTTCAACTCATCTGTCTCTTTAAGCGCATCAAAATGTTCCTATCATCATCATCAGAAGACAAACCACAAAAAAAACACAAAACACAGGAACACAGTCAATTAACTAATCTGCATTATATGAAAAAGCTTTCTTGATTCTCAGCTTCTTTTTCACACCTCATGCTTCTTCGCTTTACACGGGGTTGAAGCTTGTGCGAGTTGACTGAACGACCTTTGCAAGGTCTTATCAAGCTTGTCTTCCAAATTCATCGAGCGTGTCGTACGACAGCTGTCTGGGAACTCAGCAATCGCACACCACGGGTGACCACACTGTATCTCCTCCGGATCCTCAAGGGCCTCGTTTCTCTCCGAGAACTCGACCCGACCCGGTTCGTAATCATCAGCCAAGGACAAGTCGAGAAGGGACGACCCGGCCCACGAGTCCGTGTCAAAATCCGGGTACGAGAGATTCTCATCAATCGTGAGCGGTGGTGAGCTGAGCTCCGAGACCTCCACCTGCAAATCGGAGGCGATTGAGTTGGAAGCCATGTGCCGGCGGGCAATCCTATCCGAGTAATAGAGTCGATCCCTTAAGTCACTACCCAAGTGGTCCTCTCTTTGCTCGGTGTTTTTGTCGAGTGGGGAATTATTTCGACGGGCCATTGAGGAGAGGGATTTCAAGATGGCGTCTCGGTCGATCCTGAAGATGGGAGCATCCTCGTCCGACGAGGGGGACGAGGGGGATAATGAGCGTGGGCCGATTGTATTTTGCTCTTCTTGGGAGGGTTGTGTTTGTGTTTCGTCGCCATTGTTCTCGTTCACTTGGATGACTTCCTTGATATGGTCACCGTGGGGAGTGTGGAAAGTTACTTCCGACTCGGGTGGTTCGTACGGCTCGTGCTCCAGTATCGGGGTGAATTCCCTATCTTTTCATGTAAAATAAGAAAAAGAACATGAAAAAACACACAAGTCATTATGTATGATGTAATCCTACTTGTACATGAACTCACTAGAATTTCATTTATTTATTTTTTCTCTGTGCTCACCAAATTCTCTTCCTCCTGGCCCGATAAACTGCCGGCAGCCCAGCGAAGAAAAAATCCTCTGCACGAATCTCGAATCCGGCAAAGACGACGAGACCTCCCTCGCACTCATCTCTCCCGGCAACAAAGCCCCCGAACTAAAGCTCCCGTGCCTGCAGAACATCGTGTCCCTTCCATTCCCAGGCATGAATTCCTGCTCGAAGCCATCCCCTGTTAGGTCCGGCTTCTCCTCCTGTGGGTCGTACGGCAGGTCAAACGGGTTCCTAATTGGTATCAAAACCGACGGTGCTGAACCCGGGCTAGGCGGGTTATTACCCGCCACCAAGAACCGCCCGCCCGATCCGCTTTTCGGAATAATAATGGAAGAAATATGATGGTGGTGGTCCCCTCTGTCTTTTTTCATGAGTGTCCTCCGGACCTCGAGGCTCAACAGCTTCCTCGACCTCCGTCGGGCGATCAAGCTCTCGAGCCTCTTTGTTCGCTCGCTGTCCGAAATCACGACGTCCATTTTGTTCTTTTGTCGATCGTCCTCCGGCTCGTTGTCTTGCATGATAGCCTTGATAATATTGTTACTGTTAATAGTATTATTGTTGTAATTGTTGTTATTACTAAAATTGTCGTCATTATTCTCGTCGAAATCGTGCTTGGAGCTCTCGGAGGCCGAGCAGGAACTGTTGGCGGTGGTGTTGCCTAACGAATAGTCGACTACTTCAACTTCACGGATGTCCTTGGGGATGTTTTCTACGGTGAGGGCGTTTTTGTCCACCATGTCGGAATTGTTAGTGGACGAGACTGCCTTGTTTTCCTTGAATTCTTTCGCTCGTCTCCGCCTGACGGAGTGGACTCGCGAGACGGGCTTTCGATTGGTCTTAGAGCTCGATGAGTCATCTTCTGATGATGGCTCGGTTTGTGGGTCACGCTCGTTTTTGCACGTTTTCGATCGTCGGATGTTGAAGGAGGTGCCGAGGATGATGCCGGTGCAGACGATGAGAGGAAATGAATAGACCAAAACCCAGAAGATTAGTGGGAAGGCAATGTACACAAGGGATAAGCACAACGTGGATAATGAGATGTATGGGTGTCTTAATGCAAATTCAAAACAGGTTCTAGATAAAAAATTTAAACCTTTGCATAGACAAATTTGAATATCGTGTGCATTGGTATCCATTTTTGCTTTTGTTGTGTTGCAAGAAATTTTGGAGCTGGTTTTTTAGTCTATCATTGATACAAATATCATGGAAAAACAGATGAGATTACAATTTTCATCGGAAAAAATGATTAAACAACACAGGTCAGAAGTGGAAGACAAGAGACTCCGAGGAAATGTGGGGCACAAAAATTTAGGAAATCTTTGTCTGGTCAGTAGCTTTACTTGGTCCTGTGTTTAAGGGAGTTGACAATAGCCACTCATTCTGTATTGTTTTCACGGTTTCCATGCATGCAAAGACAGCCACAAGATGGGACTATAGCATATATGAGGATTCTGATTTGTGTGTAATTTATTTTTGTGGTAGTAATAAACTGATTATTAACAGGTTACACTACAATATCCCCTTTATTATATAGAATTTCAGAATGCGCTGAGCCTACGTAGCAAATTCTCATACTTCGGAATCTTATATGGCAAAAAATTGTGCTTTGGAGTTAGGTTTGGATATAAATTAATATTTTTTATTACACTAAATCCATTATTGATTTTTTCCTTCTTTACTTCTACAATTAATTATCATAAACTATTTTATGTTTCATTTTCCTACATTACCATACATCACATCTCATTTTCTTATATAATTCATTCATTAGTTTTTATAAATGTTTTTTCTTCTTATTTTAAGATTTTATAACTTTTTTGTCTGTATTTTATTTTTCATATATGATATATCAAATTAACTATCTTTTAAGGATTTTCGATTTGACATCCATATTATATATATAAAAAACAAAACAGTAATATATATCCTTATAAATAAAATTTAAATTTATTTATCAAACTAAATTAAATTATATCGAATAAAACTAAAAATTATATTATAAAGTAATAGAAATTGGTATGTATTAATGTATTTATTTCAAATCTAATTGGTATGTTGTCAATCTAATAAAAAGAAATAATTGTTTATCTAAATTCTAAAATTACATATAAAGTTAAAAAACTGTGAAACACGACTGATACGACACTTGATGTATTAGACATCTAATTAAGTAAAAAAATTAATCTATTTTGCTTAATATTAAATAAGCATATTCTACACTTATGCATATACACATCACCATATTATTTCTATTTATTTAAGATATATATTTTTGTACTTATGTAATAGTAAATAATATCGATATTTTTATATGATATGAGTAGAAAAAATTCAACACGGCTTGACATTTTCATTTAATGTACGGGTGTTTAATTATTATGATTAAAAAATATAATTTGACAATTTAATTAAAACCCAAAACAATTTTTTATATAAAATTAAATTATTTTAGTTTTTAAACAAATAAAAAATTTAATATTTTTTACAAAAGCTTTCTAATTCAACACCCGTGTAATACACGGGTATTGTACTAGTATGAAATTACAACAGAAATATATTCAAATAGAATTCTAGCGGCAATTCTAATGTATATTTTTCAATGCTATTATTTCCATTGGATTTTTTCAATTGATTCCAACGGAAATTCGAACAAAAATATTTTGTTGGAATGAGTATTCCATTGAATTTTTCGTTGGATTTTGACGATTCCAACGGTAGATTTTTCAACGGGGGTGGATTGATTGATTATTATGCTACGATTGAGTATCTCAATTTTATTTTTGTTATGTTGTTAAGTTGTGTGCATGATATTGTGTAATTTAAATAGATTGGTCGATTTACATAAATATATATACTAAATAATTTGATATGTTCCACGCTCATTTACAAAAAAGTATCGACAATAGTATTCTCTATATTTTTCTTTCATTAATATCGGTAAAATGACTAGCAATATGAAAAAAAATATTGAAATACCATTTTTTACCATAGCGGGTATATTGGATCAATATAGTATACCAAATAATTCATTTCATACTTTGTCGATAAAAAAAAAATGATATTCAGTTTTACCACGAAATCAATTGTAAAGTGTACAAAACAAAATCGAGACCCACGTTTTTTATAGATAAAAATAATAAAAGAATCAAAATACAGTTATTAAAAAATAATTAAATAGAAACTGCCGTTAATACACTTATTTTGGAACAATTTTATAAAAAAATATAATTGAATAAACCAACCGAATTTACATGATCTGCGTAATAAGGGTATATTAAAAATGTATATTATTATGGTCTAATTATTTCCTTAATTATCCATGATTTGAGTAGTTAAATACACAAAAAATGAATAAAATTTATTAAATATATTTAAATAAAAATTATCATTGACACAATCTTTTTAGAATAATTTTTTGCAAATCACATAGTTGCTTATTTTTGTCGATATTTTCATAATTGTAGTAATTATTTGCAGATTGAATAAATCAATCGAATTTACAAAATTTGCGTAATTAGGGTATATTGAAAATGCATTTGACAAAAGAATTACACGAAAAATATAAAACACGTATTAAATAATAAATTACACAATTTATTTGAAAATTATTTAGCAAATCACATAATTGATATTGCAGCCGACATTCCCATATTTGGTCAATAAGCTGAATTCACATGATTTGAGTAATTAAGGTATCTTAAAAATAATTTTTTTATCGCTTAGTTATTTCTTTAAATAGTGAGCCGCAATTTCTATAAGTGATTATTTGAAATATACCATAAATTGTTAAATTAATCTTAAAATAGTAAATAGATTTTTTTTAGAGGAAAATAGTTACTATTTAAAAAATAATCAAATTTTTTTATATATATAGATATATAAATATACTTTTGTGAAAAATACTGGATTTTCTGCAATATCCAATTTTACTATTAAACTAGTAACTTTACATTAAACCGTGACAAGATCTATTTTTCTGGTCTAAAATAAGATTTTGAGAGTTTTTCATGTCTTTTATTTTATTTTTATTCTGATCAATTTTCCAACCAATTTTCGGTACTTAAATCTGATTTAGTAGGAAATACATGGCGCTTTATTAAAGTGAACTCCTGCTGGGCCAAATTCGCTATTACCCAAGAATTAGGAGATCTGTATTGCAATCTGCTTTTCTGGACATTGTGGTAGACAAACTAGAGTGCTAAGTCGGCTCAAGTGTTGATAGATTCCAAAATTCATGGCCCACAATCTGTCATAATTATCCAATAAATTGTTATTCAAAAATTGAGTTATTCTCGAACCAATTAGACTCAATCCATAAAAGTTTGAGTTTGCCGAACCTTCAAACGTTTAAGTCTCGGCTCATTCCTTCACTTAAACCAGTCGAGTCGAGTCGAGCTCGTCCACGAACAACTTGTTTGTTTATTTATATTCATTATGTATATTTCGAACAAACAACAAAATCAAACATATCCCTAAATACACAAATCATCTTCGTGAACAATTCGATTACAATTTGAAATTTGTTAAACGAGTTGAACAGAGTTTACCCGTTCACTAAACGAGCACGAGTCAAACAGGAAATGCTCGACTAAATTTAATTCAACAGAATAACACTCTGAAAAGAACTAGGAAAGTTGAAGAAAAAATAAAGTTGAAGGCTTGAAGTGTACGATGGGACCATTCAACAAAGAAAGTAGCTCAAATGCACCAAAAAGGTGGAGGAGCTAGGATACATTCAAGTTGAACTATAGTATTAGGGAGAATCTTCAATTCTTTATATACTTTAACAAAAGTTCTTAAAATCAAGAATTAGGATGTGATTTTGTGTTAATTTCCCTATAATGAGTAGATAAATAAGTGTTCATATCCATTTATGGTGGACAGAAAAAAAAAAAAAAATGTTTATTAGATGTGTGGCTACGCACCGTGTGCGAATATTAATTTTGCACGAAAATCATATATTTTTCAAAGAAATTTGACAAATTTCATACTTTTTTTAATGTAATTTTAAAGTTATTTAGTCAAATTTTGAAAAGTATAAATGTATAATCACAACATAAGTATTCAATATAGGAAAATATATATCGTTTCCAACATTCTTTACTTAGCTTTCATGACTATAACACGCTCATAGTACATAATATCACATTTTTTTAGACATCTCCAATTATGACACCCCATAAATTACTCTAGCAAGAACTCACTCAAAAAATACTAGACACACTAAACACAAAAGAAATAAAATAAAAAATATGTAGATGTGATGTGACACTAAAGTTGTTTCTCACTTTCCTATCCTCACTTTCACTAATGTGTGTTCAATTTAAGTATGACTTCCACTCCATCAGAAAGTTCGAGTGCTTGCTACTTATTCACTCAGCGGCTCTACACCTATGACCTATGAGGCTATGACTCAATTAATTAGTGCCTATTTCCTTTTACTTTATTCATAAAGTTAGACTCACGGACTCATTGTATATTTCAAACATAAATGTATCTTATACTATAAGATGTCATGACTTTATTTATAATAAATATGGCCACCAAAAGTTTGCTTTTTCTTCCCATTGTTCTTTGTTTATTTATAAGCTTTAACTACACCTTTACAGTACATGTCTATAGAAACCCTCCACAACTCCCTCACTTTTTCTTCACTTTTGCACACACACAAACACAAACAAACCGAAAACGAAGGCCGAAATCAACGACGAGTGCAATATCGTTCGGGTGCTTGCTTTCGAACCAATGTCGGGTACAATCAGCTTGCATAGGCAGAGCTCGAAAGGGAATAAGAAAGCAGAACACGGGCACAGAAAAAGTACGTGCACCAAAAATTGCGATTTGGGGGCCATGAAGTACGTGAAACACGTGTGGCGTAAAGTGATGGGGGCCATTGCCCGGATGGCGACCACGAACCCCACCAATGCCCCCAAGCCTCGCCATCGCCATCATAATAATTCTTATCTGAATAAGGAGAAAGCTAAGACGAGTGTTACGCCCGTTGATTCTCAAAGGGCCGAGGCCATACACGACTGCATCGACTTCATAAATTCTTCGTCATCCTTGCCTAGATCCAACTCCGTTGCACGTTAGTTAAGCAATTTCGTCGTGTGGATAATGTAATTTGATTCATGTTGCCCTCTAGAGGATTGCAAAAAGGGAAAGAAAGAAAAAAGAGAGAATGAAGTGTGAAGATTAAAATGTTATTCATAATTATTGTTTGATCCTAGAGGTTATTATGTGTGTTAGAGTATTTGTCAAAGTTCACATATGCGAATGAACATATGGGAATTTAAGAAGGAAATAAAAAGGAGATATCCCCTTTCAAGTAATTACAAAAATTGATAAAGGCATGATTTATTAAAAACAAGTCAATTAGTTGTTGAGACTTTGGTATTAAAATAAATTAGTATATCATAATATAGAGGTACTTAAAATATATATTTATATAAATAAGTTATATAAATTATGAAAATCACATAAACTATATGCAAAATAATCAATAACATTAATAAATATAAGGATAAAAATAAATAATTATTTTCCCCCAATTTTGTTAAAAATCATTTGTATTACAATTACTATTTTTCAGTACATCGCACGGCTCATCTATATATATATAATTACTAGTTAATCCCATTTAATAAAACATTTAATAAAAACATTTTCACTTTTCCTCCAAAAGGAGTTACATTTTTTTAATTAATTATCCATTAATCCCACACTCCAAAAGGAGTTACATTTTTTTAATTAATTACTCATTAATCCCACATTTAAGAAGGTTTCTTTTAGTTAAACCTAATTATTTAATGACTAAATTAAAAAAGTTTCTTTTAATTAATCTCACATTTATGTTAAGTACAGTATTATCGTAATATCTTATCAGTTTTTCAAAAAAATAGTAACTTTTTTCAATAAATTTTATAAAAACTAGTTAAATGTGTTTATATTCATATAAATCAGAAAAAAAAAAAATTAACTCTTAACATACATAAAATAAATTTCTGACTGTGATTAAATATAACAAAAGGGCCTTAATCGGCCTCTTAAAATCACGATGCGGGCGGTTCCAATCCGTCGGAAAAAAAAATACAAATCTTTACAGATCTATTATGTCATAACGATTTTAATCGAAAAATTGTTCAAAAAGCAAAACAAAACAAAAATCCAGAGAAAAATGTTGTAGATCTTCAAAGATCTATCATGTAACCGCCTGATTTTAACCGAAATACAATGAATCAGTAAATCGGTTCTTTATAATTGGGACGATTTCACTTTGTCATCTCTCTTTTGTCTCGAAAAAAATAATCTCAAATGTTTTTTTTTTAAATTGGTTTGAAAAACATAATAAAATCACCGATGAATCATACTTTTTGGCAATATTATTGGCGAAAAGTTGTCCAACAAAATATGAGGATAAGGGTTTTCAGTACAGAGAACAAAGAAGAGAGAGAGTTGCCGAAAGAGATTTGAGAGAGGCGAGAGAAATGCGTGAATGGAGTAGGATTAGGGTTTCTCAGTATTTAAATGTCCAAGCCAGCTGGCTAGACATGTGTCGATTCTTGATTTTGCATGAAGTAAGAAATGATCTTTTTGCCCTTATTCAAAGTCGTATTGCTGCTCCATTCTTCCTATTGGGATGTTTGATTTCAGCGGCCATATGTTAAATAGTGCCCCATTGTTAAAATACTGGCCCAAGCTGAATTTTTAGGAATGGCCTAATGTAAAATAAAACCTAATTTCTAAAAATAGCCCAATTGTTATTCTCTTTCAAAATTTGGGCTCATATTTTATAAATACATGACCCAAAATAGATTGATACAATATATAGTACAAAAGAATTAATTTGTGAAACAAATAATATTGATTTTTATATTACAAGCTTTCATGAAAATATGATTGCTTCATTTTATTATTGCCATAATATTTTATATAATAAATCTTATAATATAAATAATTTATATGTTGTGTCTAAAACCTTACAAAATACATTGCAGCTTATAATTTAACACTATCAATTTAATTATTGTGAGTATGTTATCTGATATGCCTACTGCAACACCTTCCTTCTAAAGATCGGTTGTCACTTAAAATTCGCATTATATTATCCAAGAATATGGTATATACTTTGTTTATTGTTGTACTTTTTGTATCATTATTAAATGTTTATCTCATTATAAGAAAGATTGTTATTATTGTATATATTTTGTTGATTATGAATTAATTTTTAGTTTCATAAGTCACATCATAAATGCTTCTTCGAGCGGTTAAGTACATTTGATTTATTTTACAATGGACAACCATGAAAATGTGCCCCTGAGAACGTTGGTTAATAATATCCGCAAGGGTAATTTTATACTCATTATAAATTACTTTAAATTTTTTGTTTATATAAAAAATTAATATTATATTTTCTCATTTATATTTAGATGGTATTTTTTTATTAAGAAGTAAGGACAATCACTATCAATCAATAAGAGTCAAGGACAAACAATATAAAAAAGTGTTTCCTATGCTATGACATGATCAATAAGAGTCAAAGACGGTCTTTGTCGCACTCGGCTTACTACTGAAGAGCTCTGCATTTAGTAATGAGCAATTATACGTGGCGCTTTCTAGAGTTACGAGTCAGTGGGGTTTGAAAATTTTGATTTGTGCTGATGGAGATTCTGACGATAGAAAAACCACGACGTTGTTTTATAAAGAAGTGTTTAGAAATATCTATATTTTTTTTATTAATTTTTTTCAATGATTTTGTTATGATTTTTACAATTTTTTATAATTTTTATTATTTTTTTCTGTATTATATAGTTTTCCGTGCAAATGCACGGGACAAAAACTAGTTTACTATCAATCAAGAAAAAGAATCCGATTAATTGGACTTTTATTGCTGTGCCCAATCACGGGCTTCTACCCAGGATTTCTCTGGGCCGACCCGTTTTATCTGCTTCCAAATGGACTTTTCTTCGTCCAATGACAATTGGAACACTGATGCACAAGCCCAACATCTTGCGAATTTTCTTATTTAAACGAAAGCCGCTCCAACTATTCAACACTCCCGCGATTTATCAAATGCCAAACTCATCATCTCCACTAACGCAGCAAATTTCCCGCTTTCGCTCCCGAATTCAAAAACGAAGGTTAGATTACTCTGCGATTTTCATCGTGTTTAACCTAATCGCACACAGATTGCTCTAAAGATTGTTTGTTTGTTTTTTTTTTTGGTCAGTTTTGATGATGTGACTTTGCGGATTTTGGAATCGATCCTGGCCTCCAAAGACGTGCAGTCGCTGAATCGAGTCGAGTCGGTCTTGAAACAACTGATGAGAGAAGAATCTCTTCTCGTTCTCGGAGAAATTGCGATGGAGACGGTCGAGATCAAGCTTTTGTGCCTTGATTTTCTGATTCGCGTGTTTGTTCTAATCGGTGATGTTGAGGTGCTCTCTTTATTGTTTTTGTTGCTTTAGCAATGTGCAATCTCCGTTTAGAAACTTTTAAGTTTCTTAATTTTGGAGAAATTACCACGGAGACAGTTGAGGTTAAGCTTTTGTGCGTCGATTTTTGGATTCCCGTGTTTGCTCTTATAGGTGACGTCAAGGTGCTGTATCTTTATATTTTTGGTTGCTTTAGCAGTGTGCAATCTCCGTTTAGATTTTTTAATATTCTCGATTTCGGAGAAATTGCTATTTGAGATTAGGCTTTTGTGCGACGATTTTGTGATTTGTCTGTTTGCTCGTACCGGTGATGTTGAGGCGCTATCTCATTGCTGCTTTTGTTGCTTTGGCAGTTGTGCGATCTTCATTTTGGATTTGTTAATTGCGTGATGTCATTTGAATATGTGTTGATATGAGAATTCTCTTTGGAATCTGGTCACAGCTAGAAATTAGCCGCTGACATTTCATACTTGTGATTGTTTTCAAGCTCTGTCCCCTTGAAAATTTCTGCTGTTGTTCTAATCTGGACTGTGGAATTATGTCCTCACTTTGTCCCGCCTGAGATTTTAATGGTATAGATATTTGCTGGCTGTTGATTATTGATGTTTTGACTACTTCAGTTCTTGCACTTGATTATTGGGCTGAGTTTTTGACAGAGTTGCTTGGCCTTGAGATATGAGGCATTGGTTATGCGACAAGAAAAGGCTAGCTCTCACCCTGAGCTCCTGGTTTCTTCTGAAGAATGGCTCACCTTTGCTGAGCACTCGGTTGATAATGGATTCCATTCACTTGCAATTCATGTAAGAAAAAAAAACCCTGTTATGTTAGATTTAATGTTTAATTTGGGTATCTATATAGGTTACTACTGTGGTTGGCTATATTGCATGCTTGGAAATATTGAAGGGACGGCAACTGTAGATGTGATACAATGTGGTTTATCTATCATAATGTTTCTGTGATTGATTAGTAAGCCAATTTGGCATGCAAAATCATATTCAAATACTTTGATGTTCTTTTGTTCTGCATTCTTTGGATTCACATTGGCACACTACATCGAAATGCAGACTAATAATGTGCATATAAGCGTTCATGGGTACTGTGTGGAATGGCTGTCAAAATGATATGGGTTATTAATAGGATATTGTTATGTTTTTCTGATACTTAAATATTTTATGTTATAGCTCTTATGTTTCTCAGTTCAAACTATGATGTGAAGTTACAGTAAGTAATTTTTTGTAGTATTTGAATTTCGAAAATATGTTTGGAAAAATGAAGATGCGCATGAACAGCTAGATATTTACTTTCACCCAAATACCAAATACTAGTTCTGCGGCTTGAGGATTGCATCTTTTACTTAAAGTGTCCTGGCTCGATATGCTTGACATTTGTTTCTTATACTCAAAATCTTCAGGGACCCTATGCTTTGTTTCTCTACTTTATTGCATAAATAATTGATAAAAGTGATCACTCTTAGGACTTGCTAATTTCTATTGAAGGCATGTGAAAAGGCTTGCTGCGGAACAAATCATACTCCTCATGCCAAAATAAATGACACTCTCCATGATGGCCTTGCTGTAGAGGAAATCAGGAGACTGAATGATATTGCTCTGCTTGCAATTTCTTCACAATCTGGTATGAATTTTACGTCCTATTTCTTGAACACCCCAACATAAATTCATATATTTAACATAGTTGTTGCATTTTTATTACATTTCTGGAAATGTGATTAGAATGAAATTAGTTGCGATTTATTTAGTCTGATCTTTTCATCTCTCGGTATCGTTCGTATTTCTGATGAGGCAGTCCAGGCACAGGCACAAGCGTATCTAAAGCAGAAAGAAGTTAAGAAAAGCACACTCAAATCATCCCCCTCTTTTGAAGCTAAAAGTTCAGGAAGCTCTCGGTTTAAAAGTGGGATCATAAAGCATAATTCATGGAAATTGATGCTTACCGATGTTCATGAAAGACGACCTAATAAAGGCCAGAGTTGACTGAGTAATTCCTACCTTTCTACTATTTTCCTTTTATAGTCTTCCCTGCATTCCTTCCTTCCCTTAATTCTTATGGTTATGGAATTTAGATAACTAAGATTCTAAGCGTGCACTACATCTTTCTAGCATAATTATTTGATCAAAATGAAAGTCCCTTTCCAATCATGCGCTCATTAGTTATTAATGAAACACAGGAATGCGTGCACTTACTAAATACTATCACCGACAACCTTTATATCATTTGTGCACGTGGATCCTCCTTTAACACGAATTGAAATTCTCCATTTCAATGAATTAGAGAGACAAAATTTAGTATATAGATCTTGATGTCTGAATTAAATTTAAGTTGACAACTTATAGATCATTTAAGCTGCTTCCTTTTTCTGGTGGGTGAAATGAAAATATGAGCTCAGTGAATATGTGATGTTACTTAGGAGAGAGTCACCTGGATAACTTTTCACACTTTAACCTGATACCGTACCGTGTTAATTAAAATCTTATATTCTTCTTAAGATCAAAATAAATATTTTTTTTAATTGAAACATTTATGTCTAAATTTATTTATTTCGAACAAAGCTTTGGTAAAAACTTATATCGTCTCCTCTCAAGCCTTTCCCACAGGTCACAGGTGAGTATAGATTTTGTTTATTTTTTTATTTACTTATTTTGTTTTCATATTCTATCCTACTGTTTGAATCACCTTACCTAGCACTTGCAGGTCTCTGACGGAAACAATTACATTAATAATTACGGAAATAATTAAAATGTCTCAGAGAATCTGCAATTAATTTCTGGTAAAAAATGTAGCAATTGCAGTTAGGCACTGCCTCGTGATGAAGTACATTATTTCATGTGCCTATGCCATCCTTTTGAACCCTGTTATTTTTTGTTTATAAGTTTTGCAGGTTTAGCATTCTGCACTCTAGTCTAATTACCTAACATGACGTGAATCTATTAATTATATAATGAAAAATGAATTGACGTGTACTTATTATCTGTGTAATGTAGCTTATAGTTTCAACTAATATGACCCACACTTGATGTGCTACGTTATCATGAAAGATAAACAAAAAGTGAATAGTAGATAAAAGCAATAAATTGAGGAAAAAGGAAATGGAATCACTTGGAAAAAAGTATTGTCAGTGTTATAATATCACTTGTGAGTTGTCCTACATCGTTCATACATGGAAAATAGACTCACTTTATATAAGAGTAATGGTTTATTCCTCATTCCACCAATTGGTTCTGGGATGGAATCACATTTGGGTTTCATATGAGTTTTTTCCCGTTCATGGTGCACTTCATGTTAGTGGGACCGCACCCGTTTCTCCCCCCAATTTCTTACATGATATCAGAGCCGGTTATATTAGTAACTGTGCGATGACGTACCCGTCACCCAGCCAGTTAGACTTGGGCTTTCGAAGGACTCACAAGTGAGGGGTCATGTTAGAATATCACTTGTGACTTGTCCCACATCGTTCATACATGGAAAATAGACTCACTTTATAAGACTAATGAGCTACTCCTCCTTCCACCAATTGATTTTGTGATGTGAACTCTATTTGGGCTTTATATGGGTTTTTCTTCGTTCATGGTGCGCTTCATGTTAGTGGGACTGCACCCGTTTTTCCCCAGTTTCTTACAGTCAGAAATTAAATGCCAATCCAAGATAGAATAATTTTTATATATTTACAAAGCCTTGGGCATATTAGAAATACCTTATCAACTTTTATTTAATTTTTTTAAGCTCAAATAAAAATATAATCAAATAAGTTGGAACTTGGAAGTAGTACACTTTGGCCCGCTGATTCATAGCCCAACGCTGCGGGACGCGGGCTTATTGTGATGGAACCAAAATTGGAATGAGAAAATTATACCACTTACCATCAAAAGCAATCTTATTTGCACATTTACTCATCATTTACTTTTTTTTGCAATTATACTAACAATTAAATTGTCTCTTACCATTTTTCTCTCTCTCCTTTTTACTAATTATACTTCCTGTGATATTTTCTCTCTCTCATTTTTTCTAACGGTTCAACTTCTACTATGGAGGCCCCACAATTCTCCACCACTCCCCCAATTCCCTCCATCGTCCCCCGCCCCCACGACAAGGCCCTCAGATACGTCGGCGGTGATACTCACATCGTCGTCGTTGACCGCTACGCTACCCTCTCCGACCTCCACCACCGCCTCTCCAGGAGCCTCCTCCGCGATCAGCCTTTCTTTATTCCATTTTTTTTTTNCAGCCTTTCTTTCCATTTTTTTTTGTGAACTGGTGATGACAGTATATGTTGCATGTATAGGCTGTATATGTTCAGTATATTATGTATAATCAAATTCGGTATATATTATGTATATATCTTCTGTATATATTTTTTGTATATATTTTGTATATATTATGAAAAGATCAGACCGTATATGTTCAATATATTCTGTATATATTATGTATAAACTAACCCGGTATATATTATATATATATCTTCTGTATATATTTTCCATATATATAATGTATATATTACAAAAAGATCGTGTATTTTCTGTTTCAGTACAAGAAAATACTAAATTCAAGTAGTATTTTTTGTATATCATTGATCATGTAAAGTGGCGAGACTCCACTTTAAGGACGAGGTCGCTGATCAGGTAGTAGTCGAGTTCATCAGACTCGTAAATACTAAATATATCTCTTACCTTGAGAATCAAATTACTCATAGTTCGCGATGATGAAAGATGATAGCATGGTGCATCCAATATTTTAGTCGTCATCATCGCTCACCTTGAGAATCAAATTACTCGTAGTTTGCTTACTTTACGATGATGAAAGATGATAGTATGGTGCATCCAATATTTTAGTTGTCACCATTGCTGCCATCGTTGTTGGACTTAGTTCCGTAGGTTCCACTAATAGTACTCAAATCATTTGGCTCATCATCATTCTTTTCATCTCCCATGAGTTTATGTGCTCTTCTTTCCACTTTCTTCAAACGGCCCGCGACATTTGTACCTCTAAGTTTTGCGTCGTTCGTCCAAAGTGTATCACATCTTGCCAAATTTTTGTTCAACCACCATATTTGAGGCCGGGAAATGAAAATTTCCTTGGCAATCAAACATAGAATAAAAGAGACGGTCTTCATTTATTACCATTAATTCAAGACATCGAATTGAAGTGGCGAGACTCCACTTTAAGGACGAGGTCGCTGATCAGGTAGTAGTCGAGTTCATCAGACTCGTAAATACTAAATATATGTCTTTGCCCAAGCTCGGAAGATTTTGCAACACCTCGCCGTTAATTGAGAAAATTGAGAAGAACATGCTGTCAGATTTTCTCGAGTCCAGTTGTTTCCTTAAACATGTCGTAGAACAAATATTTTGCTTGCTTGACGAGCAACAGTGGGCAAGATGTCCATTGTAGGTGGCAACAGAAACAACGGAAAATGGAAGTTGATACAATAATAACATAATAAATGTGGAGTTGGTTGATAACCATTTTACTGAGTATAGACGAATTTACCAAATTCTCAAGTAAATGAGTATCATGAATGTAAAAATAATATATTCACATTTACTCAACTTATTATTTACTAGGCACAATTGCCTTCCAATCACTCAATGCTCGGAGTCGGCTGAGTCAACTTTTTTTATATACGGTCCAAAATCCCCCGGCTAAAACACCGGCCCAATTTTGGTGTCGGCTTAAAGCCCATGTTCAACTGTTTCTCTGATGGGCCAAACCGGCCCCCGGCCCCTTAGCCATGTCTACTTAAAAGGTCACCATCCATCAACTTTTACCTAATTTTCGCCTAATGACTGTAGTAGAGTTGTGAATGAGTGGAGCTAAGTGACATACTAATCAACCAATGAACGGGGTTGATGTCGGCTTGTTTATCAAAATTAACCAGCTGAATTATAGTCTCCCTAGTTCTAGAGGCTTAGTTTCAATTCGTTAACTAAATGAGTTGTTGAATGAACTCTGAATTTGGCTCGTTATCAAATGAGCAGAATCCATGAGCGGCTTCATTCATTTAACAATTCTACAATGTTGTAAAACTTTGCAACCCAATCTACAATATACTTGGATAAATTTTGCGACCAATTCCAGTTTAAACCAATCCATTCGATTGACGAGCCGGTTCAATCCGGGTTAGAAAACAGTGGGCACAAGGATGGGGCGTTCTAAGCGTTTAAAAAACATCCACATCCCCAAAATCGATCTTGCCATATCACTAAGCGCATTTAATGTAGTTGCGTTGGAGCTCGCACGCTTTTATTTTCTCTAAGACGGTGAAGATGTCTGTTTTACTCAAATACTTTACTCAATAAATTAAGACGAAAACAAACAAGAAAAACACACACTTCCACACACATTAAACTAAGCTTTACAAGGTTCTCATCCTGTCTAGACACCGTATTTTTTACTCTTCTCCCTAAGGGCGTAGGGAGCTTGAAACTTGAACCTTTTGACACTGGAAACGCGTTTCTTGAGGTAAAAGAAGTATACATAAAAATCACCCCCTTTTATCAATAATTCAGTAATGGAGGACCCCACAAAAGTTTTTAGTATAAACATTAACTATTACTATAAATTTACCTATGTACTAAAAAAATGCTGCTTAATGACTTAGAAATCTAGAGGGGGAGATGGCACCAACCAGCACCTGGGACCCATATTCCTTTCATTTCTACGGTGAGAGATCTTGTGTATGCTCATCTGGTTGCTCAAATTTAGTCTAAAATTGAGTTGATTTTAATTGTCTCTCATCACATAGTTGTTGGGCTAATTTATTTTTTTGTGAATTTAGTGGGGAATATAATATTTTACTCACGTGTTGGAAGGACTGAGCGAATCCACTTGTTGAATTAGTCATATATATAGTGTGGATTTATGTCAAGTTCAAGAAAAAGGAAAAAAAAAAACATATCTAATTATTCAAAGACAAAGTGGAATGAACTAGACAATTTGAAGCCTAAACAATGTGTAGTGGTCCGTTCAAATGGATTATATGAACATACATATTCAATAAAAATTCATATTTTCACAGTAAAGGTAGTACTGGGTGAAGAAAAAACAACACAAATGGAAAGTTTTATAAGACAGACTTTTTCACCATAAGTTTTTGTACATTCCTTTAGAAAATATGAGCCTTTGGCTCGTCTAACCAATTTTAACTAGTGTCCATATTTATTTTATGAAATGTAAATGTGTCTTCATTAATTAATGGCTAGGTAAATTGGTGAGGCTAGATAAACACAAATTTGCTAAGACTGTAGAAAATTACAGTTGCTTTCTGTAGATTTGACCCTATCGTTCAGACGGATGTGAGTGTATGATCCAACGATAAAATTTGGTGTGGGTAGGATAAAATTACCTACAGCATATAGGGGTTTGGAATCATGTGGCCAGCAATAAATGAAGGAATCAAATAAATTTCAAAATGTTTTAATTTAGGTGTAAAGACACAAAATTCCTCGTGATCATGCACAAACTAGCTAGCATAACATGATGACTGCTCGTAATAATGACATTAATTGGAGGATTATTATCCCTTTTTTTTTAATTAATGATGGGAAGTTCTTGTTTTATAATTTTCATTTTCATATTGTTTGTCTTTAAAGCTTACTCAATCTAATGCATGTGATCTCTCAATTGTATATTAGATTGTTGTTATTTTTATGGTCTTCTGAAGTTTGTACTTCTCTTAGATTTCAGTCTCATGTCGGATCTCTTCAACTGTCTCATTAATTGATTTCTAATATTATTAACTTACAAACACATACTAACATAGTAGCAGAGTGAGTAAATACATGTAACAAGGAAATAAGCGTAATCATGAAACTGAGGCAAAAGAAACAAATTAATTTATCATGAGAATCAGTCAATAACAGTTCAAGTATTACAGAAAAATTAAAAATAGAATCAGTTTGGCAAGACAAAAATCAGAATTTCCAGATAAAACATAAAGGAATCGCTGAAATTTCATAGTATTACTAGCGACTTTTGAAACGTTTAAACAGTTCTCGACGAGTAAAAGCTAATTAATGTCATAATTAGTCACATAATGAATACACTATCATAGAACCTTTTAAATTCATTATTAAAAATTGCTCTCGTGTGACTGATTTTTCAAGCTTTTAAGACAAAGTGGTTAGTCATTGTTTCCATATTTTCTTGCAGTGCTCGTATGGATAGTTTATTTTATCGGAAATGTCTATGTATGCATGAAAAAGTCTCTTTCTAAGAAAATAATCAGTCTTTTTAAGGAAAAAATTATGTAGATTTTATAGGTAACCGGTAAGGCGACTAAATTAATAATAAAATTCTATCAAAGCACAGTGCTTTTATTTTGTTAATTAATATATTTCAACTTAACCAGTATCCTGATTTGTAATATTTGTATAACTGAAAACATATGTCAATAATTTTGAACAAGTGAAAAGGAAAAGAAAAAAAGCATGTTTGATGTTTTCGTTTGAATTATTTCCTCCAACAAACAATCCACGTAGAACCTCTGTGTGTCTCTCCCTCGGGTATTCCTCATGCGCAAGCTTTCATGCTATCCGCAATTTACTAAAGCCCTAACCCTAGTTATTCTCACCAGACACCAATTTATTGTTCTCTTTTCTCATTCTTTATGTTATGTGCATAATAAGGAGAACGCTACAATCCTGTTACGCGATGGTTCTGTTGTATTTTTAGCCGTAGATACACATGTAGATCAGTGATGTGTAGATAATCTACGCTTAAAAAGAACAACGGAACCATCCCATAATGGGACTGTAACATTCCCCTAATTTAAAACTATTTTTTTAATAGTTGTTTATAATTATAATTTATAATTATCATACCCTAAAAATAACATATATAGAAGCATGACACTTTTTAGTATAATTATATATTTTTTATTAAAAAAGTTTAACGGATTGACCCATTAATGATTGTATTATGCAAGGATTTGTGCTTTTTTAATATTTATGTGCCTCATCAGCTTCATTTGTTCCTTTTCATGTTATTTTTCCTTCTTCAATAACTGAGAACAATAATTTGAAGGTCTATCCGTCTAAAAGAACTCGTTCCAATATAGTTCTTTAACTAACAAATTGCATACCTTATATTGAAATATCATTATTTTCTTTAAAAGAAACAAGGAAAACAACTTCATTCTTTGAAGAGAAGATCTTTTTTAACCAATTTTTTTTCAAAAGCATTTGTTTAGCCATTTTTCAATGTGACAAGGTCGAGTACATGAGTTTTTAACTATTCCGTGTTTTCAAAAACTCCTAATAAAGTCATATTTCAACAAGTAGTCTATACATTACAGATATATGTAAATTACAACATATAGGNAAAAAAAGAAAAAAAAAAGGTCAAAGTAAGGAAATAAAAATTGCAACAGCAACATTCGATGACCAGCGGTGGTCAACCCGTCCAGATGATTCATTTGTAAAGACCAAAATACCCTTTCACATATATAAGTGTAGCACACTTGCATTCAACTTTTGTGCCTATATGCGTCACATTAAAGTCGTGTAGTTAAACCTATATATATATATATATATATATATATAAGGAAATGTTCCCCTACCCACTGTGTGCAAATGTTAATATGTCCACCGCGTGCCACATAAGCGGTGGCATATTAACATGTGTTCATCGTGGGTAGGGGAGCATTTCTGTATATAGCATGAGATTCAAATGAGAATCAAGTCCTAGCGTGAGAACCGCAGTTTTTGATTGTATGTAATACTATGATTAATTGTGTGGAAGTGCCAATTTTTAACAAAGAACGTATATTATTACAAATAGCAACACAATTTATATTAAACATTTGTGAAAATGATAGCACCATGTACTATTAAAAAAATAGCATTATACATAATTAAAAATAACATCAAATATGGTTCTCATACCAGAATTAGTTTTTATTTAAACTAACCCTATATAACTGTTAACTAAAACTACCATTATAAATAGGGTTCCCCATCTCATCATCTTCTTCCAATCTAGCAACCTTTTTGCCTGTTTACACACTGCAAAAGCCACTTGCACATTTTTGCAGCTAGCTAGGTTTTTATTTTTATTTTTTAACACCCCCAAAAAATCGAGAAAACCGAAAAGGAAAAGNAGCAAGATGCTTCAGGTTTGTTCCTCACTTTTATCCCTTTTTTTTTTCAAACAATATATTAGTAAAAATATATGTTTGGCCATAAAAAAATCTATTAGAGCTGGCCTCTTTGATATTTAACACTCTCCTCCATTTTGTCACACAATTTTTCAGAAATTAATAGTGATGATGCATAAGAACAAAATAAAGAGCCCAAAGTTATTTCTATACATGATATAATAGAGAAGCCTATTATAACTACAAGTACAAAACATGAAGCCAAAAAAAAAAAACTAATATTCTTCAGATTTATTTTTTAATTTTTCTATACCAGGAGCTACCGGTACACCAAAGAGGAGATGCGGTTAGCAGTTTGGTATATGAGGCGAACGCTAGAATGCGGGACCCGGTTTACGGCTGTGTAGGGGCCATATCTTACCTGCAAAACCAAGTCTCTCAGTTACAGATGCAACTGGCCATGGCTCAGGCTGAGATCCTCTGCATCCAGATGCAGCACGACCCGCCTGCACCCTCACCCCTCGACCACCCAGAGGAAAGTTATGATAAAGCCCTCTTCTTGCCGGCTAACAGCGGCTTTAGCGATATCAACAGCCTTCAGCACTATCTTAGCTTCGCTTCGACTTCCTTTGGACTTGAGTTATTAAGAAAAAAAAAAAGAAAAAGAAAAACAAGAAAAAGCTTCTGTTTTGATCATCATGTGGTAATTATATTAACATGATTAGTGATAATGGAGTTTAATTAATTGGTTGAACTAATCTAGTTAAAGTGTTCCTCAACTACTCCTATTGACTTTATCATCTTGATTTATTGAGCTTCTTTGATTTTTATTTTTTGTTTGATGCATGTTTCTTTGTGTATGGGTTTGTGTTCTCCATTTTTGGAACCATAAAAAAAATAAACTCTCACATGGGGAGTTTGCCAAAATTTATGAACCATTGAGTCTTGTTGTTGCTTGACATGCACATTTTGTTATAAAAGGAATAATTTACTCAATTATCTACCTTTTTTGAATTGTATGTGTTTCATTTAGTAGTGTGTATATTTTTTTGTGCAAATCCTTAACAACTGTGCCTTAATTTATTTCTTCTCAGAGATTTGGTTTTGTAGTAAGCTTGAGTTTTTGTGATGCAAGGTACCGTCATTTAGTCCATTCTCCGATGGACAGTAAACAACAAAGCCCAATTGACACCAGTGCAATTAGAATGTACAATATGGGCCGGAAGATCCAAATACGTCGTTTTAATGGAAAAAATAAGATTAGAATATATTTTGGCGCACCGCGAATTTTGCCAACGTGTGAAATTTAAACTAACTCCTTAACAAAAAAATTGTGATTACATGAGTTTTGCTATCAATATTGAAAAATCTAGTTCATTTAAGTAAATTTGATGTACAAAACATGCATTAAACACACACCAAGAGAACAATATAGAATGAAAATTCACATCAAAGTTTCTTATTCTACATAAAGCTATTAAAAATGAGAAAAAAATGAATACAACAAACCACTAATATGTCCATTTTTGGCCGTTGCAACAAAATGGTTTTTGTATAATGATCGTATACCTATCATTGCCTCCCTTTCTTTCTCCATCAAATTGGAGTCGGCGTGACCCCATTTCTTTCCTCCTCAGCATCGTCACTCTCTGGTGAAGGTTGACGTCGAGGCTTATCCCTTACATTTGGTGGAGGCTAGAGTGATTCGAAATGTCGATTTCCACCATTTTCCTAAATCTTCTCTAGTTGGTAGATTTCAACTTGAGTTTGAACTAGGGGTGCAAACGAGCCGAGCCGAGTCGAGCAGGATTGAATTTTTCTTTTAGCTGCTCGAGCTCGAGCTCGTCGGGCTCGATTTATGAGGCTCGAGCTCGACTCGATAAGAAAATACAATAACTCGAGCTCGACTCGAAAAATTTTAAGTGAAATTATCATTAAACACTTGTGTTATACTATTAAAATATACATATGAGGGGTGTTATAGTAATTTAATATATATATATATATATATATATATATATATATATATATATATCAAGCCGCTCGACAATGCAAAATATGAGTTTGAGCTCGACTCGAGCACGCTTTGACTCGAGCGCTCGCGAGCGACTCGTAAGTCGCTCGACTCATTTGCAGCCCTAATTTGGACTCCGCGTTAGATTTGTTTAGTTGTTCACTTGTAGACTAAAATTCTCAAGTTTGAGAGCGTTAGACTGCAAATCAAGTTTCACGTTTAGGGTTGGATATTTCTAGGTGTGTTAGTTAGTGTCCTAAGCTCGATGGTGGAGTCCGTTTGCGGGCGGTTGTCGATGGTGATATCGATTGAAGTGGGAAAGTTCTAATTTTATTTTACTAGATTTTATGTTTATTTTTATTTTGTTATCTTGTTGGTAGTATCCCTTTGTGGAGTAATATAATCTACATTCTTTAGGTGGGGGGGGAGGGGGTTGTCTCCTTTGTGGAGGGGAGCTTTTATGTTAGTGACGGTCCCGGTTCGTTTGTATATGTTTCTTGGTAGTTAGTGTGACCCTTCAGTATTTAGTTGATTACCAATTGTATTTTTTGAGTTTAATATAATCATATTTGTCGTCTGATAAAGAAAATGTATTTCTGTGGTAAAATTCAACACTAATGTTATGATAATTTCGTGAAAAAAAAAATAATGCAAAGTTAAAAAGATTAAATTTTGATAGGAACTTGCACAGTATGTTTTTTGAATTTTATAATTTAAATTTTTTTTTTTTTATATAATCTAAATTTTATGAACATTCATAATTTATTAATTTACGTACATCGAGATCGTATTCATAATTTTACTTTCTAGATTGTATGATCATCCGTACAAATAAGTACATTTATAAAAAAATGTAGGAAAAACGTATTTGACAAATAATAAAAGTATGGGAATTTTTTTTTAACTTCCTAAAGTATGCCATTTTTTTGAGTTTGACATATATTTTTTTTTTTTTGACGATTTGCCTCCCAATGTAATCGAAACTGACAGTTTGCCTCCTCGATTGAAAACCCTAATATGGCACAAAAGAATTTTTAACTCAATTGATGATGAATTTTAATATAATCTTTGAAATTGATTTAGGGCTTTTAAAGCCCATGGCGAGACAAACAAAATGAGATATGGTTTGTCGATTTCTGAAAATTGATGCCTCTAAAATCGATCCACAAAGATAGCAGGAGCATGTGTGTATAGAAAAAAATTCAATTCAAGTTTTCTGATAATCAAGATATCTGATTTTCGATTGGGAGGTGTCATTTGAAAGTTTGAAGGACGAGTTTCCTATCGAAGTAAATCTTATGAAAATCCAACGGTTGGATTTTGATTAGTAGCCTAAAAAAAAGCTAACTATTGATCAATAGTTTTCTAAATACTGATCAAAATCCGACCGTTGGATTTTCATAAGATGTACGTGTTAGAAAATTGGTCCTACTAACTTTCAAATGACACCTCCCAATCGAAAATCGGATATCTTGATTGTCAGAAAACTTGAATTGAAATTTTTTCTATACACACGTGCTCCTACTATCTTCGTGGATCGATTATAGAGGTATCAATTTTCAGAAATCGACAAATTATACCTCATTTTGTTCGTCTCGCCAT